ATAGCAACTCAAACAAAGACATAAACCCACTTTTGTGTTTACTTTCAAAACCTCTGAAGCAGCTTTTTCTTTGGACGGTCGAGAAAGAAAGCGAGAGAAGCTCACAAACCCTCTTCTCTCTGCTTCATCATTTCTGCCTGGTCGGTTGCAGGTCAACACAAGCATATGCCCTTGTCCTACGTTAATTATTCCTCTAATTCTATTGTATTCTCACACTTTAATCTTCATTAATCACAATTTTACTATTTTAGTAATTTCAATTTCAACCAATAAATTACTATGATCCAACTTAATAATACTCTAAGAATGTATTCATAGTTTTTCTATTTAATAGTGTGGTTTGCTTCTGGGACAAGTAGAGAAAGAAGAATATGATCCTTCAAGTTTCAAAGATGAATACGACGTATATGAAGCTTGTACACGCAAAAATGACGAAGAGCTTACATGCATGGGCTTGGTTACCTGCGGAATCGGTAACCCAGCCACAATGAGAACCTTCTAATCCTTTAAGGTGACTCGTGGCAATTTAATGGCAACCATATATCTTCAAAATATGTGGTTGAACATGTATGTTTGACCAAAATCTATTGCACGTAACGTAACTGGGTCTTTCAAGGATGATTTGAAACAGTGAGAAAAACCCTACATTTATGTTCTTCATCGTTCTAAACCAGTGGCTACTTAGAACAATAAAATTTGAGTATCTTATAGTTTTCTTAAAATTGTTAACACTATATTAATTAATTTATGTATATGATTATTTAAAGAAAATCGTATTTTTGTACTATTCATCTATCATTTGATTGTTTGGTCAACACATCAAAATATGATAATTTGTATTTTAAATTGCGGATTTGAGTTTTTTAATAAAATTATGACTTCAAAAAGAATAAACTGTCTTGCAAAGCCCACCTTCCTTTTAAATTACTATTTGAATTAATATAAACAAATTATTTTTTATTTAAATAAATTAATTTTACAAATCATTTCATTTAAACCTAAAATTAAATATCATAATTTTAAAAATAATTATCTTAAAGTTATGCTATATACCATAAATTCTAATCTAACAAAAAATAAATAAACCAAAGTTATGCTTTGTAACACAAAATTATTTTTAAAAACATAACGAATAATATATATATATATATATATATATATATATATATATATATATATAAATTAGATTTTAAAAATATTAAAATATTTTTTAGATAAATAAAATATATTAAATTATTATTTAAATTTAGGAAGTTAAAACAGTCAAAATTCCCAATTGCAACATTATGTTAGGGAATAATTCTTAATGGGTGTCATTAATAAAAATACATTATTGTTAAGAATAAATTCAATAACTAAATGAATGAAACAAGGATTCAGAAAAGAAATTAATTACAATACGAAGGACAGACAGAAATAAAGCATGAGTCCTCAAGCATTATTGTAATACTTCTTTCAATCTTCAATGGTGGAAATTCCATTTTTTTGGCTTCATAAATTATATATATTTCATATACAATCATCAACGTAGGTATAACAATTGGTATACACTAAACATATTTAAGATAAATTTACTTTCCTCCACTACCTTCTTAAAAGTAAGTTTATTAGAGAAAAACTAGACTTGCACCTTAAAAAAACCATATTTTTGAGTTTTGTAAATAAAAAAATAGTTGCCGAAAAATCTCACTAAAGTAGATGAATTAAATTCCCTCAAAACAATTAGTTATTATGAATTTTGAAGTTATATAATATTACAACATTTTTTAGCAACGAATTTTGAGTGTATATGGTAAAAAGAAAAATAGTAGCCAATTTTGTGTCTCACCCTAGATTTGGTATAAAAATTGTATAAGCGGATACTTCGAGTGAGATTAAAAAATTGGATATCTCAAAACATATAATCTAATATCATAAATTTCTTTAGTTGAAATTAATATTATAATCTCTTAAATATCAATGAAATTAAAAAATTTAAATAAAGAAGATAAATATATAAAAATTAGTTATTATATAAAAAATTTATCAAGTAAAGTTTATTTTATCATTTTCTTCTCTTAAAAAATAAATTTATAATTTTTTTAGACATTTTTAAAATTTAATTTATTTATTTTTTTATGTTTTAACAACATATAACCCTAAAATAACTAATTAATGTATAAAAAATAAAAAATTATATTAATATTTCATATTTTTACATTATACTAACGTGTTATAATAATAATAAAAATAATAAATAATAAATTTATTTATTATTTTTATATTTCAATAAAATTATTATGAGTATCTTCTTTCTATTTTTAATTTCTTATCTTATATTTTTAATAATAATAAAAGAACAAAAAAACTCAAAAATTAAAAGGAAAATTTTAATTTTTCTGTTATAAAAATAAAATTATAAAAAAAATTAAAAACTAAAAATAATTATATAATTTTTTTTATAAAGTGAAATTATAAAGGAGAATAATATAAAAATGAATAAAGAAAAAAAATGCTAAAAGTAATTTTATGATAGAAAAAGTTAGAGAAAATAAAAATGTAAAAAAAAAGATAAAAGAGAAAAAGAAAAGAGTGTAGATGAGAAATTTTATAAAAACGAAATATAATATTTATTATAAATAAAAAATTAGAATAAAAAGAATATTTATATTTATAATTTTTTTATTTATTTTTAAAAATAATTATTATATATATATATATATATATATATATATATATATATATATATATATATATATATATATATATATATATATATATATATATATATATATATAAAATCCCTCTAGTTCCTCTAAATCTGTCCTTACACAATCCTCAATGGTAACAGAGTATTTAATGACGGTGTCAAGAGGCTCCCAAAATTTTTACTTTTTTTTTTAATGAAATTATAATTTATATATTTTTTATTTTCTAAAGAAATATATATATATATATATATATATATATTTAATATTATCCTCTTAATCTTATAAGCTGGTTTTACTTTTAACAGTTTTATTCATTTGACAATTAACTTAGTCAAATATAATTAAAATAGATAAATAAAATAAAATATTAAAATAAATAGAAATTATAATCTGAAAACGATGTTATATTTATATATTTTTTATATAGTTAATTTATGTTCCATTTACGAATATTTTATTATGGTGTATAATTAAACTGTAGAAGATTTTTCGGAACTCCTTGACAGATAACCATAAAATTGTTGGAAAAATGAGATGCAGCGGTCGGTCAGGTTGAAGTAGAACACGCAGACCAACCATACATATGCAACCATCACTTTTTGTTTGCTCAACTAGTCCTTTTTCTCGTCTATTCTAGTCATGGAACACATGTAGACACACGCAAATAAAACTTAAACGTGCCTTTTATTATATTCTTCAGTCAAATATTTATTTTCAACAAATAATTTGTTTTCCCAATTTTATTAAGTTTAAATTGAATTATTTTATTTTTCAAAATAAAAAATCTCTTTGAATTAATACAATGCTCATACAAATAAACAATAAGAAGTTTAAATCATATTAAATTAACTCTAACACGATTTTTATTGTCTCGGTATCATAATTAAATTAATTTAAATTTTTTATCTCATTCAGAGTTTTTCTACAAGAACATACAAATATTTCTATATAACTAATTTTTCAGTCACTGAACGTTTCAGTTTTTTAAAGATTAGTGCAATAAAATTTGCTAAATAAAATCCTTTTCCGCAAAAGATTTAAAAAAAAAAAATCTATGAGAAATTAAGTGTTTGTGTTAGTATGTGGAACTCGAGTTAAATTGTTCACATCCAGAATTAGATTGTAAAAGGCTCGAAAAAATATAATTTTATATATTATTTGTGGTTTAATTTTTAAAGCATTGTATATTTTTCACACCTTAATTTTGATTGCAGTTAAAATCATAATTAAACTTGTAAAATTTTCTTGTAGTTATGACCTCTGTCAAAGTTCTAACCCCGTACATAAATTTCTGAACAAATTCAAACTATTTAATTAAATGATACAACTTTTATATGTGTGAACAAGACAAAGTAAGCCAAATTATATAAAAATATAAAGTTATAAATTCTTTTTACTTATTAGTGTAATGGTGACTCCAATCTTTGCTATGAGATAATAAGATAATTGATGTACCTATCATTATATGTAATTATAGTGACTAAAATGTAAAATTTTTTCTTTCTTAAATTTTCAATCCGAAATATATTTTTATAAGTAAAATAATAAAAATAAATATTAAAGTTTTTTAATTTTCATATTTTAATTTTTTGGTGCATTTTGATATGAAAAAGTAAGGATAAACATGTAAATTAATTGTATATGAGAATCAATTCAACAACGACATTACTCTTGAGTACATACACCATCACATAAAAGCGTGTCATTGGTAGTAAAATGTTATGCCTTTTTAGTCAATGTATGTATATACATTTATTTCAAAAAATATTATTTTTTTAAATAAAGCACATTGTATTTCTTAATTTTGAAAAATAAAATTAATCTACTTATTAAAAAAAATGGAAAATCAAAACTATAGTTACTTAAAATTTTAAGAAAATAACATCATGAAACCTAGAAAAAGAGAATTAATCTGATATATGAAAAGATGAACAAAATAATATTTTACAGGAATGAAAAATGAAAATTCAGTTATAATTTTATAAGAATGAAAGAAAATGATTTTTTTTAAAATAACGTAAAAGAAGATTATAAAGACTAAAATTTATTAATTTTAGACAAATAATGTATGAGATTTAATTTGAAAATAAACTCAAGTCAAAATGGATAAATAAGAGATATTAAGACTGTCCTGTTCCCGAACCAACCGGTTACCAAAGTACCAAACCGGTGCCTTTTCGTATTATTATTGAGCCCACGTGTCCCCATTGCTGACGCAATTAATAGTATCTAGTATGTTCCCATTCAAGCTAACTTTCCAAAACAAAACAATAAAAAAACAGCAGCACAAGATGCATGCCATGATTTTCAATGAAAAGCAATCGATGCCTGTTTGGTGGGTCCCCTGTTTGCAGTGACACCGCTTATTCTTGGCCACGTACGCTTGTATTATGGTCAAACCCCATGCAAAATCATATTTTATTACTACTTTATTTGTTGTCACTACGAGAGAAGACAGTTACCTGTTACACGTGTCACGGACAGGTGTCCACCTCACATGCTCCGGCGTCTTTATCCGGCCACTTCGCCGGCATCCTCAACTCGCTGTCCCAATCTGTCCGATCAAATATACCTTTCTCTTTCTGTGTTCCCTACTACACACTCTATATGTGTGCTTGGAGTCTAAAATCTAAGTTTCTCGAACTTATATATTTTAATTGAATGTAAAACCAATCATTCACTGCTACCAAATAATACAAATCTGACTGCACTTAGGAATCACATTAGAAAAATACAGAAAAAGTATTTCTTGTGCAAGAGATATACTGCATAAAAATGTTACGCATACATTTAAAACCTTTCAGTCGACAACATGTACTATTTTTCAAAATTATAATGTATATATTACTTTTTATATTTATCTTTTAAATTTTAAATAAAAAACAAAATATAATATTTTTTCTTCATCTTAATATAATATTTATTAAGATTTCAATTTTTTTTTCACTTTTACTTTCAATATAAATACGTAAGTCTAATTTAATAAAAAACAATTAGGTAAAAAATAATTATATAAATAGAAGGAAAAAATTAATATTATTTTGAACTTTGAAAATTACAAAATAAATAAGAACAACATTTTTTAAAACCTGGTAATTAAGAGTTTTAATTAAGAGGGAAGGGAAGGATATTAGTTAAAGTATGTTCCATAAAAAAAATTACACAATCCTCTATGAATGATAATATATTTTAAGTTATTTATTTATTTTTATAATAATATTTTAAAATTATATTTAAGATCATTTTAATTAATTGAGAATATATTAAAATTAAATTTCTTATACAATTAAATTAATAGGAAATTATTCCAAATGAATAGTTTAGTAATTATAAAATGCTAAATATATCATTTCGTTAAATGTTAAAAAATGGTGTATAATAATCTAATTTGGTTATTGGAATAACACAACAGTGATTACGTGTGGCTTTCTATTTAAGCATAATATTCATTCCTTGCCTTGAAGTGACTACGTAATTCATTCTGCTTCGGTGCTTTGTATATATAATCCGATCAATAGATTGCTAATATTTGGAAGAAAACAGACACATGCATACTAGCATAGCAATTATAGAAACTTCAAACATAAATAATTGGAAGAGGATAAGGACCTTTTATTTACTGTTACTACTACTACTACTACGTCCTAACACATCCAAAGGCTCAAAGAAGAAAGTCAACTATCAATACTATTAAAAACATAGAAAATGTTACAAGTATCACACAATCGATCATTTCAATCATCTAGCAGCCCAGATAATTCAATGTGAGGAATTAATGAATCATTCGGTGATTCAATTTTGTTTGCGACGATTGTTTCATGATGTGAATACATTTATAGTTACATGAACTCATTCACACCTAACATGTCTGGGATTTCAAATCTCAACAAGTTGCTGCTGACGTAGCTTTCTATCTCATCCTCGGTGCTGCTGCTTCCATTGACATACGTCGAATTCGAATTCAAAGGTGTTGGGCTTGATGAAGGCGTTGAAATAACAGAAGCGAAGCTGAAGTTCTGGTTGCTGTTATGGGAATGGTTATAAGTTGAGGATTCAGACATTGGATTTGCGTCATAATCAGAGCCATGGTAGTTATAGCTAGGTAATTGAGCAACATAACTTGTATCAATTCCGTTGCATTGCAACTCACTTGGCTGAGAATGTTGTTGGAAGCAAGAGTCATGGAAGACTGAAGGGTACGGATTCATGTTGCATTCAACCAACTGTTCTTGAGTGAAAGGCAATGGCAACGAAGAACAAGGGGGATTCATTGTATTGCATAGTGTTTTACATGGTTCTTGAGCAAAGTCCTGAGTTTGTACCAAGTGTGGGATTTGGTTAATTTGGGGATCACAGAGCAAGTTCTCTTCACAGTTTTGCGAACACATGTTGAGGTTTTCCCGATGCTGAGAAGAAAAGAGCGATGAAGCAAGCTTTAAAAGCTCAGGGTTCACCATTGTCTGTGTACCAAGCAGTCTTTGGATGTTCATCTGTGTTGGACCATAGAGGGATGAACTTAGGATGGAAGAGAGGTCCAAAAGATCAAGCCTTGGCCTATGTGTCACAGGATCAATTCCCATCCTTAGAAGCCTTTTTCTAATGTGGGTATTCCAATAGTTCTTGATTTCATTGTCTGTTCTTCCAGGCAAACGAGAAGCAATAGCTGACCACCTACACAATCCAAAGATACCAAGTTATTAAAACCCTCTTTCCTTGAATAATAATACTTCACCCATGTCGCAACTATTAAACAAGAGACTTACTTGTTGCCAAGAATGCTATGTAGTTGTATTATGGTCTCTTCCTCTTCAAAAGTGAATCGACCACGCTTTATGTCTGGTCGGAGATAGTTTGTCCAACGGAGTCGACAACTCTTTCCACACCTTTGCAACCCTACTCAGTAAGAAAAAGGCAAAACCCATTTATTTTAGTTGAAGTAGAAAGTGTAAATAATGTTAATTTTTGTTACAAAAGATGGAGATATATGACGCACCAGCATTCTTTGGGAGTATTCTCCAATTGCCGTAGCCATGTTTCTGGATGTAATCAACAAGTTTCTGGTCTTCCTCTGGCGTCCATGGCCCTTTCTTGAGGCCATTTTTGTCACAGCAAGGTGATCTACCCATTAGTAATGCTAGCTAAACGTGTTTGCTTGATGGGAGAGGGGGAGAAGTTTTGGTGAGGTGAGAAAATAAAGAAACAGAGAAGGAGATAAATATTGGAGTAAAGTATGATGTTTTGTACGAGACACTTGTTGTTGTATAAATAGCAATTAAGAAGAAGAAGGGTAAGAAAAAGGGGAAGTCAATTGGATTTGGTGCCGGCCTCTGTTATCTCTTGCTACGTGTCCCCTTTTCATAGTTTGATAAATTTTCTCTACGTCGTTTCTGTATTTATATTTCTACCTTCCATTGCAAATTAAAAGTAGAGTTAATTAATTAATATTACTGAAAAATAAGATCTTTACCTTCATCATACACTGAAATTTGAGGTTTGTATTTGAATTCATATATGTGCTTGATATATTGTTACATTTATAATTTACCTTACCTCTAACATTATCCGAGAGTCAAACCATCGTTTTCCGGAAAGTGTGACCCCTAAGCTTTCTGGATTCATATTAGCTGTAATCAACGCATCGCAGGCCACGTAACCCCAACAACACATGTCTTTCTTTCGGATTCCATCTTATAGAAGAAATCTTCTTATTTACTTCTCATTACACTTAATTATAATAATATTTTTTGAAAAATGTATAATTACATACATGTAATTACATTAATTTTAAAATACCATTAAGCTTCTTTTGTTCATGTAGTACACGCCCGATCTCTTTATAAATAAGGTCTCGTGTTTCATAACTCACGGACGGAAAAGTAATTATGCTGAAATTTAAGGATAAAAATAATATAATTAAAACATTAAATTTAAAATATTGTTTAACAATTTCCAATCATATTTAAAATTGAAGTTTTATTTTAAAACACAATTGTAATATTTCTTTTTTAGGTTAGAAATCTTAGTTTTACACTAATTTAATTTATGAGATTAAATTGTGTGCCAATATGCATGGCAACATGCATGCATGTGTGGACGAAAAGGGTGGACATTGTTTATTAAATATTAGAATAATAGAAAAGATAGAAAAAAAAGAAAGAAAAGATGTTGCAGCATAAATTATTTAACATTTCTAAAAGAAATCACCTAAAAACATGTTTTTGTGACCTATTTTCTTAATTGATTTGGTTGTATGGGATGGAAGTCTTGAAATGAACTCAACTTGATTGACTTTGTGTATGCAATGTGAGGACTACTTCAAACTAGTAAAGTTATTTTAAATTTCTGGTTAGACCAAGAATAGTATAAAAGTATGTAAGCTACAATGAGATTATTGGGAAGTGATGGTAGTGTACTATTGTGAATGTTAATATGATATATAATAAAAATGTTTTGACAAAAGTGAGTTTATGAATTGTAGAGATCTGAATATGAAGTGAATAAATATTTGAAGAGAATGTGATGTAAAGTATGAACACTGCCCCCTATAGATGGATGTGTTGTTTTTGGCGTGGTCAAAGTTGGGGTTGTGTTTTATTAGAAAAGTAGTGATTGTCTTTGACTGTGGAAGTTAAATAACACGTTTTAATTTATTTTTTCTGAGTTCCCAGTCTGAACTGGAACAAGAGGATGTGCGGGTGAGAAAAGGAAGTGCATCCAACAGGCCTCACCTTTTGGAAGCATACATCCTCCATTAATAACTCATGTTTGATGTTTTCTTGTGCCATTCTCAATATTTTATATCAAAAATAATTTCTTATCTTTCTTAAACTCTCTACAAAATTGTAAAATCATTATATTTTAAAAGATTAATCATGCGCGTAATTCATTTCACATCTTCCTTCTGTTGTTTTCATACCTGAATATTCACGCTCGCATTAAAACACACACTGTTTCTTTATATATACTAAGTTTAATTTCACTTTTTAATTTAAAATATTTTTAAATATATTTTTTAGTTTTAAAATTTCAGTATCAGCCTTTACATGTCCAAATATTTGAAACAATACAAAAAACACAGTCCCGTAAATGAGTAATACCATAAATCAATATATAGTTTGCTGTTATTGAAAATTACATATCCTATAACTAATTATAAATATAATAAAAAATAATTGAGATTTTTAAATTATATTTTAAGTATGTTCTTATTATTAAAAATGACTGATCTCCTTTCAAAGATAAGAGACACGAACTAAGAAATTATTAAACCATTCAGATATTCGATAAATAGATATTTTTTTCTTTCAACTTAATTTTTATTATAAATAATAAATTAAAAGTCACTGATTTTTCCCCTGTTTTTTGAAAAATAAAAATATCTTTATATTTTTTATTTTTCTAAATAAATAATCTATTTTTATTTTCTTCTTCCTTTCTTCCTCCCATGCCAAACGTACTATATATATCAGACAAAAATGTTTTTGACACATGAACATTCAGAAAATATTTATCATTTTCTGACTATTATAATTTTTTAATAAATATTTGATCCAATAATTGATATATGACAATTAAAGTCACTGAGTTCAATTCTTAATAAAATAATTAATATAGAGAAATTATCGTAAAATATATGAATATTCTGGTAAGAAAGATTAAATGAAGCAGGTTATAATGTATTAGTAAAAGTTGATGTCAATTTCATAAAATTTGAAAAGAAACATAATTTATAAAAATATAATTACCGCTACTTGATAAGAGATGAGTAATGATAAATGAATGGGCAATGTTAGAGTTTAGGGGGACACCTAATTCTGTTTGCGTGATGCATTGAGATATCACAAAATCTGAGACGTGTCGTCAAACAATAAGCTGGACTCACTTCTCCACTCCCAACACTCAGACAAGACAACGTCACACATTATCGTCTGATTTGGAAGCTGCCACGTGACCAAATCTAACGTCTTAGAGTCTCGTGATGCTTATCAAAATCTTAATTATTCTACAAAATACCAAATTATTCTTTTATAATTAATTCCTCACGTCTATTTTTCTGATTTGTCCTGTGCCTATTGCGGTGAAGCTGGCGTCTATGACCTCAAATTATTTGAAAAATCACTCACTTTAAAGAACAACATTTGTTTCTTTATGTTTTTTAAGTTAAAAAATTACTGTTATGGTCAAGTGCCTTCCGTTTAGATGTTGATGCTTTTGTTTCTATCGTACTTTTAATTCATCGAAACTCCAAAACATGGCTATAATGTAATGTTCCTTTACCAAAAAGTGTCTTCTTCTCAATTTTACCTTATTCTTTATTTTTCTTTCGATGTTAGCATGAACAACAAGTTAACGTGGAAACTTGTCTTGCCTAATTCACCAAGGTATAAAAAGTCAAACAATAATTTAATCATGTACGGAGATTTTCACCCTAGATTTTGTCTCTTTTCTTAAACACGATGACAATTAATAACCTGTTGAAGTTTCAAATCAAACCTAACTAAGCTCTTTTTAGTTAAATATACATATTTTGTAACCAGAGGGCATTTTATTTAAACTATAACTGGATTTATAAAAAAAAATAAAAATAAAAAGTTTGAACTATAATCAAGTAACTATGCTTTAAGACAATGTTTAATTATTTTGTATTTAAGAATGATTAGAATATTTTATCCATCCTTATCTTCAAACTACAACTGCATAAGATCCTATAACTTTTTCGCCCGAATCAATATTTCTGTTCATAAAGCAAAATCTCGTGTATATTTACAAAATTTGTAAAAAATACTTGGAACATCATTTCTAATAATATTCCTAAAACATAAGATCAACTCAAATTAGGTTTACTAGTAACCTATTTGTTTTTGTATGAAAAGAATATGACATAATTTCAAAAAAGTATTCGTGGGAATATATATAAACAAAACACCTATTTTTTATTAATTTTTAACATTTTATCTTTATGTTTTAAATAAACAAAATAAGATAGTTTGACCGAATCAATTTAATTTTTAATACAAACTTGTTTTGACTAAAATGCTTTTTTTTTTTTTAACTTTAGTTAAAAAAATACACTTTTTAAAAAATAAAGAATTTTTTATTTTAAAAAAAATTACATTTTTTATTATCAGTAATGATATTGTTATAATAATATTATTATTATAACCGTTAATTTTGTCAGTGGCAAACATTTTTGTCGCCTATATTAACACATTTCAAAATAATTTTAATACGTTAAAAGTATAAAACTGGACTTAATTAGTAGAAGAAAAAAAACGAAAAATGTTACTAGAGGTAACATCTCAAATTACTTTAATAAACTTGTTTATCAGATACTTTATTAACATTTTTCTACAGTTTAAAAAAAATGACGAAGGAAATTATTAGTAATTGAATTCAATAGATATGGATTAATTAATTTTTATATTATTATTATTATTCATCTTTTATTTTTATTTGGTACAGTTTCTAAACATTTAGCTCAGTGAGAGTATTCATGTACTGTACAAAAATGGTTTGGGCCGAATTTGTATTTCTTTAAATTGGACTGAGCCCAACAGCAGCAAACCACATAATATCTACTATTCATAGCTCCCCTTATTGCTAAACACACTTCCCTTTAAAAAAAAACTATAAAATATAATTAAAGAAAAGTATGGGTATAAACGGCTTATTAATGAAGACAACTTGAAATTAAAATTTATGACTTCATTCATATTATTCTTAACCAAATTTAGTGGTTCAAAACAAAAAACTTATAAATATATCATGTTAATTTATTAATTGTCCAAAAAATTTACACGAATTCTCATATTCATAAAATAATATAAATAGTTATAAATTAAGCAAATCTTCTATATGTAACCTGATTCTTTTTCTGTCTTACTAGTTTCTTAATAATCTTCATACTAAAATAATTGCCACATTTTTGTTTTTTTCTCATTTGCGTACTATTTTATTTTCCTTTCCCGCTAAGAGAACGATTACTTATCTGTCGTTTTACCACCTAAATTTGTATAAAAGACAGCGATAACATAACATACATGATTACGTATTTTATTTTCTTATTTTTCAAAGAATCTAATTGAGTTGGTTAAGCAATATATGGGTTACTGTCCTAATCCGAGCTTAATTTTTATAAATTAAACAAAATTTACTTAAATCCATAGCTATTAATGTAGTCCTATAAACCTTTGGTTCGTTAAGTTTTTAAAATTAGGCAATGTTATCCGATAATAGTTATTTTTTTTTATCTGACAAGGAGACTTGGAAGTGTGAAAGAAACTTATAAGTCAACCCATAGCGTGTAAAAAACACTCACCAAGCCAGGGACCCACCATCTTTTCCTGGCTCTTCCCAAACATTTTTCTATTTGTTGCACTAACAAAACCAAACAAACAAACTAACGGTTAAACAAACAAATAACAAAAAATAAAATTCAAAAACGCGTGGACTCAAAACGCTTTTCTCCACCACAATCCATAATCCTCTTCACATCCGCGTCTGCAACACCTTTCACGCTTTCAAACACAAGACGGACTAAACGACGGCGTTTAAAACCATTAACTCTCTGCTCTCTGAAACTAAAAGTCAATCCTCTCTCTCCTTTTCTACTCTTTCGCGTTTACGGAGCCGGAGAGGACGAGAGCATGGCCTTAGCTGACCCCAAGCCTCACTCCGAACCTAAGGTCTGGAATTTCTTCAAGCTTCCCTTTCGTCATTCTGCCTCCGCCGCCACTACGACGTCGTCGTCTGCTAACCTTCACCTTCACCACCACCAACACCACATCCCTAACAATCTTCCCCTCGAGGGCTCCTCTTCCCACACCTCCAATTCCGTTTCCTCTGTTGCCAGATCGCTTCTCCCAACGCGACGCCGTCTCAAGCTCGATCCCTCCAACAAGCTTTACTTCCCTTGTATAAATTCCTCTTCCCCTTTAGTTTTTTTTATGCATGGTCACTTTTCGTTATTTATCTCTGCTTGCATTCAGTAATTGCTTTGATCGTAATCTAATTTGGGTATTTTGCCTAAATTTCCATTTACTGATTTTAATTGCAATTTATTAAGGATCGTTTAACGCTTTAAGTGTACTCTGCTATAAATGGAAGTCTTTAGTTTGGGTGAAAATAATTGCCCGTAGTTCCGACGTGGTTTGAAAAATGACGTTTGTTTATTCTGTACTTTCCTTTCTTGCTCATTCATTTGTGACTTGTGAGGTAACACTGTTAGTAATCACAGTCCATTTCTTTCCAAAATTGAAAGTTAGGAGGAGATGAAATTTGGGTATAGGCCTTGTTCAGATAAACTTTTCTGTGAACATTTAAGGAGAAGATGAGATAGCTTTTATAGAAATCAACTTGTGCATTTCGATTTTGGGGACTCGAAAGTAGTTACATGAGATAGCTTTTATAGAAAGTTATGTACATAAATTGGTTTTAGCTTAGGAGGAAAGTTGGAAGTTCAATTCCTTTTACTTTTTTTTCTTTTTTTTCCCTCTTATAAGTACATATGGAAAAGTTTCTTTAAACATTACTATAGTAACAAGGGCTATTCAATGTTGATAGCTGTTGCTGTTGATGGTTTTTGAGTATGCTGATTACAAATTTTGTTTAAGTGGATACTGGTATTCTAGGAGTGGAAAATTTAAATGTCTAGTTTATTGCTTAGGTGGAAAGTCATGAGGCGAAAAAATTGTTCCAAGAAAAGGTTTGACATTAGTGCCAGGCCTAGTTTTGTTGATTTCAGTGTTGAAGATACTTATGATAGCAAGGAAAGTGATCTTTTCTCCTGATTTCAATTTTTGTTCATTTATAGCTTTTTAATCATTTCCCTTGAAATTGCTTTGACCGCAATAAGCCAGACTAGAGAAGTGTACGTCTTGAATTCACAAGTTTTTCAAACAAAAAACGGATTATTTTCTGAAGATTAATTACTTATTAGTTGCATGCTTCAGTGCTTTTTGCATTTTCTCTGTATTAAGTATTTGACCTTGAGTGGTAACATTAACATCTTAATTTTTGCACGCTGTGGAAGTTAAGTGTTGCATCTGCTTACCAAATATTTTCCTTTCTTGAAAAAGTTTCTTTTGCATGTAGACTACAAATATAGCCACATTAAATTTGCTAGCCTTCAAGAAAGTGTCAATGGCATGACAATCATAAAGTTTGAAAGTAATTGGCCAAATTATGGAGATACAGGAGAAAATATGATGAAAATTCTCTTTGCTTCTCTTGGCTTTTCATGTGATTGCAATTGTGGAAGCAGAAATATATACACAGATTTCTCTTTGCTTGTCCTGGCTTTTATTTTTTATAACCTTTTTATTCTATTATTTGGTATGATATGTGGGTACAATTGTGTGATTTACTTATTCTTATTTTATATATCCTGTAACTTATTTCCTTATTATTTCGTGCAGATGAGCCGGGCAAACAGGTTAGGAGTGCCATCAGGATTAAAAACACCAGTAAATCTCATGTAGCTTTCAAGGTATGGGGAAACATGTATACCTTTTATTTATACCTGTTTTTATAATTTTCTTTTCCTCATTTGCAATTTCTGACTTTTTTTTTGTTTGAGGTAATTCCATAATGTCTCAAACTAAACTATCTATTCTTTCTGTGACTATGTTACATTTTTGCAGGAGAATGTCATTTACTTATTGAGATCACCTATTAATATATTAGCCATGGAACTATATTATTTATTCTAACTAAAATTCTTTGTTTGTCATTAAATATATGCATGTTTAGTTTCAAACAACTGCTCCCAAAAGCTGTTTCATGCGTCCTCCTGGAGCTATCCTTGCACCTGGTGAGAGTATCATAGCAACAGGTAAACAATATTTGATTTCTGTCTACGTCCCTTCTTGTAACAAAAGATGACATAATCACAAGGTCCGGTTATCTAACCAGTAAGTGTTTTTGTTTGCCAGTGTTCAAGTTTGTAGAGCAACCAGAAAATAATGAAAAGCCTGAAAAAACTGGACTCAAATTTAAAATCATGAGCTTGAAGGTGAAAGGATCAATTGATTACGTCCCTGAACTGGTTAGTTAATTTTATTTTGGCTGAAAACTTACTATTTCCATGAATAAGATAAAATGTTGTTGCTATTGATTTTAATTTCATCACTACTATTGTCTCGCCTGCCTACCTAATTTGAGTGGTCACTATTCTATTGTACATGCATCTAACATCTTCTAACTGTGGATATTTGATTACCTATCACACGCATTCAGATATTATATGCAAAGTATTTGTTTTACTGCAATAAATTTTCTGTTCCTTAGGTTTAGTAACATATGAATGAAAAAGGACAAGGTTTTCAAACTTTGGAGTTACTCTTAAACTATTTCGAGTTTATGACCCTAGGTAGATGAAACTTGTTTACTTGCAGTCAAACTCTTTTTTGAGTAAACTCAGGTAAACTCTTTAAATTTGGGTAGACTTGTATAATCTTTCAAGTCAAGAAATGAGTTAATGAGTTTAAAATCAATGTAATTTTTTTCCTTCGTTTGACCCAATCGGGAAAATATTTTAGTAGGACTCAAACTATTTAAAGAACTTTCCTCCTTTTTCAAATCTTTTTCACTTCAAGAGCTTCTTCTTCTTCTTTTTTTTTTTTTTAAGAATCTATATATGATTATGACTTGTAAGTTTAATCATATCTAAGTTTTGCTACTTTTCTTTACTATGAAGTTTAAATGTTGGATTTTGTTGTGTTAAAAGTATAATGTTATGCATATATGCCATTAATAGATTTTTAATATTACTGTCTTTATTAGGTAAACTTTTAGAAATTTGCCAATCAAATCTACGTGTTGAGTCTACCAAAGTTCCATGAGTTTTTGTAGATTCTCAAGTTTGGCAACCTGGAAAAAGGATGGATTTTTTTTTCTTTTTTGGTTTTGTTAATTACTCTATGCATATAGATTGTCATTTTGAAAACTTTATGGCCTTTTCGTAGATTCATGTGCATGGTATTATGAGGTATGAGGGTTTTTTTATTGTGATTGGTAATGAGAAGCTCACTTATCTATATGGATTCTCTCTCTCTCTCTCTCTCTCTCTCTCTCTCTCTCTCTCACACACACACACACACACACACACATACACTTCATAAAATTTTGTGCACAATCAAATTTGAGTGTCTTTTATATATGCTCATTTCATTTCAGTCACTCTAGCATCTCCAAATCTCTGCTTGATCTGAAGATATCTTCCACATTGTGCGAACTTTTTTATCTGTTTTTAAAATGCTTTTTTTTTTCTCCCTGGAAACAGTTTGATGAGCAGAAGGACCAAGTAGCAGTGGAGCAGATTCTGCGAGTTGTTTTTCTGGATCCAGAGCGTCCATGTCCTGTAAGTACTGAATGTATTTCTTTTCAATATGCATTTTGTATATTGAGGCAATGTTAGTACTAGTGACACATTTCCTTTATCTTTTCACTCATTCATTTATATACCCGTTGCGGTACTGTGGATGAGACATTCAGTATGAACAATTGATGTTGGTGAGTCATCAGATGTCTGCATATAATGCTTTAACTGATTGCATGCTAACAAGGGTCTATCTTTTTCTCATTAAGGCTTTGGAAAAACTGAATCGACAACTGGCTGATGCTGATGCTGCCCTTGAGGCACGTAAGAAACCTGTGGAAGATGCAGGTCCAAAAATTATCGGGGAAGGGCTCGTCATAGACGAATGGGTATGTTTACATAGTTTTTTATTAGAAGTTTTCCGTGCAATATGTTACTTTTGGCAAATGCTTCATCTGTTAATTATAACCTATGATTATGTTTTCAGAAAGAGAGGAGGGAAAGATATCTCGCAAAGCAGCAGGGTGAAGTGGTTGTAGATTCTGTATAGGGCGTTGGTCTGGTTTGGAATACCTATAGGAAATGATATTGCCGCCAAGGAAAATGTCATATTAAGAGAAACAGTGATTAAAATTACAGCGTCTTTTTCGTAGAAAATTTTCAGGTGAATGGCAAGTGTACTTTGGAGAAAACTATGCGTGGATGTGTGATCTGATCATTCTCTATGTAGATAAATGTTATTTTGTTTTTAGGTTTTTTTTTTTTTTTTTTTTTGTCGTGGGAATAATTTTGATGGATTGATGTGAAATAGTTCTATTCAATTTCTCTTGTGATCAATTATTTGCTGTTAGTCTGTTTGTTATGATTTCATTCAGATGCAGATGTGGCTGAGATTCCTGGACAAACGAAGTAAGGTATTGATATTAATGATGAGTTTGGTATTTCCATATTGGTCATAAAGTGGATAATACAAATATTTTTTCTTAAACATGGTGAACTAACATTTGCACAGTTAATACTTTCAGTTAACAATTTTTTCATGTTTTTGTTGCAAAAAGATGATGACCACAATTATAAGCCTCGTTGCCTATTAAACAATAGGTTTAGGGTTGTGGATTTTCTACTTATTCTGGGCTTAGGTTACTGGTTGACACAGATTGGAACATTGGTAGACCTCATACATGAACCTTTGTTGGTATGGACAAAGGGGACTATAAAGGTTTGAATATACTGTTAATTTCTTAAATTTAGAGTTAGTTCGCCCTTTGTTCCTTAAATTTTAATTCTGCTCATTTTAGTTTTTATCGTTTCATTTTTTTTATCCTAAATATAGTTTAAAAAATTCGTTTATATGTTACAATGTTTACATGATTTTACATTTTTATCATTAAATACACTATTTTCTGTTTTTTCATTTTGATTGTAATAAAAATATTTATTTTATTAATTAATTGGACTTTGTAAGAGGGGTCGATTTGATCTGGTTTATCATTTTTAATTTTTGTCATTAACACTCCAATGTTACACTACTGTCAGAACGCAGTCTAACAATCTTTTATGACCTGGCCATCTTTAAAATCCATGCCGAGTGGGACAAAATTGTGCTTTGAATTTATCTGCTTAAAAAGTATTAAAATAAATGTAATACGATGAATAAATTTCGAAGACGTGAGAAATAGGTTAGATAAAACTAAAATATTTGTAATCAATAAATTTAGATTAGATTAATTTGTAAATTTAAGAATTTTATAAAAAATAATTATTTAAAAAATGAAAAAATATTATTCTTATTATATATAAATATATATATATATATATATATTATAAATTGATTTGATAAAAATTCTTTTATTTTAAAAATAAGTCTTAAACATATAATTATTTTATAAAATAATAATTAATATAAATTATTATTTAAGATTATTATATTATTAAAAAATAAATATGATAATAAAAAATCATTTTTTAATTCTTATTTTAAAAAGGAATAATTTTTTCTCTTATAATTTATGTATTTAATAATTATATTTAAAATAAAAATTAATCTTATTAGTAACTTAAATTTCAAAAATATATAATTTTTATTTAAATATTTTTAATTATTTATTTTAAAATAAACATGTTCATATTTTTTTAAAATTTGTAATCTAATAAAAAAATTATGAATTCCTTTACCTAACATAATTAATTTATTTACTCGAGACTGATAGTTAGGTTATTTTTTAAGAGATTTTTTAATGTTTTAAAATTAATATTCTATTTTATAGGAAGACCTAATCTTTATTCAATTGCATGATTTTCTCTTACATTAGTGTCATCTTTCATTGTATATTTGTAATTGTCATACATTATGCAGTAGTTCAGTCTTTGTATAAAGGCTTATATAAGCCTCACATTTTTACTGGAATAAGACACTCTCTGAGATTAAATATTTGTACAAACATATCTATCAGAGCTCCGTAAGGGACTTGATATAGAGTGTGCACGAGTGAAATCAGTAGGAGAGTGTACAAGTTCAGAGTGATTACAGAGTATGTCTGAAAAGTTTGTGCAACCAGTCATCCTAAGGTTTGATGACCACTATGATTTATGGGCTATGATGATGGAAAACTTTGTACGACTTACGGAGGCACAATGGAAGAGTGTGTCTGAGGCCAACCTTCAAGATGTGAAGGTGAAAAGCTACTTGTTTCAAACTATTGATAGGGAAATTCTTGAAACTATATTGGACAAGAGCATGTCACGGGCCATATGACAATGCATGCATAAAAAATATCAGGGATCCACAATCAAGCGCGCTTAGCTTCAATCATTGTGCCATGAATTCAAGTTGGTGGAAATGAAAGAAGGTGAAAAGTGAACATCTATCTGGGACGTACACTCAGCATTGTTAATAAGATGAAATTCAATGATGAAGTGATAAACACAAGCATGGTGGTTAGCAAAATTCTCACATCATTAACTCTAAAGTTTAACTACGTTGTGTGTTCAATTGAAGAATTCAATTATCTGAGTACCCTTAGCCTTGATGAACTTCATGGCAGCCTACTTGTTCATGAGCAAAGGATGTAAGACTGTCAACCTAATGAGCAGGTGCTGAAGGTCGTTCATGATGATAAATCAGCAGCTAGTCGAGGTCACGGCAGAAATGGTCGTGAACGTGGAAAATGCACGTAGAATAAAGCGCTCATTGAGTGCTTTCACTGTCACAATTAGGTCACTATGAATATGAGTGTCCAAAATTGGAGAAAAAGGCTCATTACGTATCATTAAAGAAGTTGTAGAAGTGGAGGAAAAACTTTTGCTGGTTGCATATGAGGAAACACAAACTGTACAGGAGGAGGATTGGTTCCTAGACTCCGGTTGCAGTAATCACATGACCGAAAATAAGCTATGGTTCATAGAAATACAAGAAGAAGGAATTAATAAAATAGTCAAACTTGGCAGTGATTCAACTTTGGTTGACACTGCAAAAGGGAGCGTTCGAGTTGAGATTAATGGAACCCCTCATCTTATATCAAATGTCTATTGTGTGCCTGAACTTAAGACTAATCTCTTGAGCTTAGGACAACTACAAGAGAAAGGTTTGTCTATCCTAATTCAAAACGACATGTGCAAAGTTTTTCATCCAGAGCGAGGTCTCATTATATAGACCAATATGAAGGGAAACCAAATGTTCTATCTATCGGCTTCACTACACTCCTGCTGTCTTCAAATTGAAGAAATTTCCAAAATAGAAACGCACTTATGGCATCGACGATTTGGACATCTTAATTTCAAGGGTCTTGGTATGCTTGCAAGGAAGCAGATGGTGATAGGATTACCACCTTTGAAACCACCCAAAGAAATCTGCACTACTTGCCTAGTAGGTAAACAACACAGAGATACCTTACCAAAGCATAGCACGTGGCAAGCCTCCACAAAAATCCAGCTAATTCATGATGATATTTATGGTCCCATCTCACCATTCTCTCATAGTAAGAAAAGGTACATTCTAAATTTTATTGATGATTATTCACATAAAGCTTGAGTTTATTTCTTACATGAGAAATCCAAAGCATTTACTGTTTTTAAAAGCTTCAAAGTCAACATTGAGAAGGAAGTTGGTGCCTTCATCACTTGTCTTAGAACTGATAGAGGAGGAGAGTTCACCTCTAAGGAATTTTCTTATTTCTGCACTCAACAAGGTATATCCAGGCAATCGATAACTACCTACACTCCAGAGCAGAATGGAGTCGCTGAATAGAAAAACTGCACCGTTATGAATGTGGTGGGTGTTGTTTTACACGAAAAATAGATTCTCAAACCTTTTTGGCCTAAGGCAGTACGGTGGTGTGTGCATGTTCAAAATAGAAGCCCTACATCTGCTATAGATTATCAAACACCAAAAGAGATGTGAAGTGGGTCAAAACCATGTGTTGATTGTTTTCAAACGTTTAAATGTATTGCACATGCTCACATTCCAAATCAGAATAGAAGAAAGTTGGATGATAAAAGTCAAAAGTGTGTTTTCTTGGGGGTAAGTGATGAATATAAAGCCTCTAAATTGTTTAATCTTGTTACATATTGCAGTGAGATTTCATTTTCTTAGAGATTTAGTTAAAGATCAAATTGTTTGTCTTAGTTATTATTGCTCAGAAGAACAAGTAACTAACATAATGAACAAAGCATTGAAGTTTAAGCAGTTTAAAAGATTTCACCGCATACTTGGAGTTGTCAAAATTAGTGAAGTATGTTAAATGCAACAATGCATATAGCTTAAGAGACGGAATATTTGTTTGTTTGTTTTTTAAGAGGGTTTTTTAATGTTTTAAAATAAATCTCTTATTTTATAGGAGAATTAGTCTTTATTCATTTACAGGATTTTCTCCTATATTAGTGTCATTCTTCATTGTATATATATGTAACTGTTATGCATTATGCAATAGTTCAGTCTTTATATACATGCTTATATAAGCCTCACGTTTTTATTAAAATAAAATACTCTCATAAATTAGATATTTGTGTAAACATACCTCAAGAGAGTAATTATCAATTTATTTTTTATTCATTCTTTTACTATCTTCATTTATAATTTGTAAATTGAAAATTAAGCAAGTTAGCACAACATCTAATTTTTATGGTTATTCGTCGGATCACTGTTTTATAGTATTGTTTATCATATCAAGTTGAAGATAATTTTGTTAAAAAACTGATAGTGTAAAACTAGGGATGGCAAAACGGGTCAGCCCGCTCCGTTTTGGCCCGCCAAAAACGGGGCCGGACGGGCTAGCCCGATATAGTCATGACGGGCTGTAGACCTTGGCCCGCCCGCCAAAGGGCGGATTAGCGAGTTGCGGACTAGCCCGCCATAATTTAGAAAAATATTTTTTTTTAATAAATTTAATAATAAGATTATTATTTATTTGTCAATAATTCAATATATATATATATATTATTTCAATTTAATAATATAAATCAATACATTATTTTAAGAAATTATAATTTAGAACAATAATAAAATTTACATAATAATAAATAATAATAAATATATATATATATATATATATATATATATAAATAACGTTAAACTTATAAAATTTATATTTTTTATATTAAAAAATTCAAATACCTATATCTTTTTTATTTGATAAAACTTCATATTATTCTTGGTTGAGTAATTCTTATACCTTTAATTCAAGTAATAAGGATATATATAATCAGTGCTTAGGATAAATAAGGAGAACATGAGAGAAGGTTATATTTCGGGAAGGAGAATATTTTCCGTGAGAATGAAACTTTTGTAATTCTCTTTTTAAAATTTTTAACTTTATATATTATCTTTATAATTAATTTTATTACAATAAAAAAATATTTTTTTATTAACTAGACGGGCGCGGGCTGGCCCGCCCGTCCGCGGGCTTGGCCCGACGGGTTGGCGGGCTTGGCGAGGCGGGCCAAAGCGGGCTGGTGGGCTGAAAACACCAACCCGCCCCGCCATATTATGGCTGGCGGGCCAGCCCACCGGGCCTAGCCCGTTTTGCCATCCCTATGTAAAACTTACAAATATTATTAGTTTATAATCCTTATAAGCAAACAATACGTTTAACTGAACTGTGATTTTGTCATTATTATTTTTATAAAAAAAATTATCATTAATTATACAGTTTTATGAAATTTAATCTCAGTATATATTTTAATCTTTTTGTTTTGTTTGAATTTAAATAAAATGTATACTGATTTTTCTCATCAGAGGAGAAATTAAAATCTCCTGAAATAATATATTCAGGGGATGCATAATTTTAAATCACATAATCTTATCATTAAGTTTATTAACAAACATTTTAAATTATTTCCAAAATATGAAAAATTAAAACTTTGAAAGGGGCTAAGGTCTTATTGGGCTTGCGGTAGCCATGTTCAAATTTTGTTCGTGAATAACAGTAAAAAAAATGCTAAAATCGTAAGAAATATTACGGGCCATTGCAGTTAAAATGGGTGCAGATTTTGGATGATATTTGGAGTATTTTCTGGGCTGGATTTTTCATTGAGTGGAATGGGCTTTAATTTGGGTCAAAGCCCATATAGTAGGCCGTAGGTGCAAAATGAAACGTACCAAAAGTAAAAAGTAGATACACCCAATTTCTATTTTATTTTAATTAAATTTATTTAAATTTTTAAAATAAAAACAATACTAATCCAAACGGTTCGATTGGACTAAATTGATCTAATCTTTTTTATTGTAATTATCTGTGATTTATTAAAAAAAAATTATTTTAAAATTATCCTTTTTTATTATCATTATAATTTTTTATCATCATAAATCATTATTTTATCACATAAAAGAGATTTACACATACAATTTACTTTACATGCAAATATTTTAACGTAATAGACTAAATTAACTATAAATTCAATACAAAATATATTTCAGAACTATATCAGTTGGTTAACTTATATCAAAACTATGCCAAAAAATATTTATAAAACCCCAATACTCTAGTGTGAATAAATATTAATAATTATTTTATGTTAAATAAACTAAACAACACATAAATGAGAGGATAGAAGTGATTTTCTCTTTTATCATATTATTTTTAATATAATTGCTTTTATTTTTTGAAATCATATCTAATTACATGGAATCTTCATTATAAATGAACTATTTCATTTAATTTTGTTGTATTATTATTATTATTATTATTATTATTATTATTATTATTATCTTTAATATTAATTTATTTTTAAAATAAGTCAATGAATTTTCATTTGGTAATATCATTAAATTTTTAAAAAATATCTAATATATTACTAAAAAAATGTGATTATGTTTATTGATGTGAATTAATATATATATATATATATATATATATATATATATATATATATATATATATATATATATATATATATATTAATGATATATATTTAATGAAATATTAATAAGTATAATTTCGTTATACAGTTTAATTATATTAAGAAAAGTAATATATTAACTCGTTTTAAAAAAATTGATATTAAATTAACATTAAAAATCATAATTAAGAAAATTGAGAAAAAATAACAAATAAAAGGAGGGAATTTTGAACACGCATAAAGAAGTGGCCAACATGTAACTAAAGTGGTGGGAGGGCCCTTAAAAAAATTGGCATATGATACCTTCATAATAAAGGGGAAGAGAGAGATAAGGGTATTAATTTAAATAAGAAAGAAAATAAATTTCATCTTATCCAAAAACATACCCTTAGAAATATAAAATAATAATAATAATAATAATAACAAAAAGAAAAGACCCAGAATAAATGGGAAAGTGTTGATTTCATGCTTTTCTCCTTCGAAACCGTGACAGATACCTCTCCTTTTGGTGTTCCAGATTTTTTGCATCATTGCTTTGTTTGTTGTCACGCTTCTCCACCGAAATCTCTTACAATCTTATTCTTATTATTATTCTTATTCTTATTATTATTATTATTATTATTATTAAATATTGAAAGAAGAAGAAAAACAACCAAAAAATGGTGCTCAAAACTTTATTCATGTTATGCAGATATTCACAAATAGCTTTTAAAAACAGTTGGTGAAGTAATGTAGCACAAAACAGAGAGAAAGAGTAGTTGGTTTTTTTGTGTTAGAGAAAGAAACAAAAGAGGATATTCAAATATAATTAGAAAATGTTTATATATTTTTTTAATGGTATATTTTTTTCTAATTTGACATTATAGAAAAATAAAAAAAAGTGGTGTCAGAATTTTCAACAGGTAATAATCCAAGCCAATATTTAGTCTTAGATGATGTAATTAGACTAGAGAAAAAATTGGAAAAGGTGATAGGATGACTCTGGTTTTCTGATAATTTGTGGTTGGAAAAGTAAACCTTTTTTCAAGTGGAAGTTCCAATATGTAGTACTTTCTTATAGAAAGATTATTGATTACTGAATAAGCATTCAATAATATTGATTAACTAATTAAGCACTAATTTCGAATTATATATGGGTAATTGTTCGGACATTTGTGCACTGAGCATAGAAAGTCTGGTTTTAAAAAGACAAAAATAGAATACAGTATCAGGCAAATCATAAGCATTATGTGATGAGGTTTTAAACCATATATCCAACAACACTAATTAAGGTGTGATTAAAACTAAACCAGGTGTCCAAGATTTGACCAAATTTAAAAAGATGTTTGATATTTTTCTCATGACTTGCAAAAAATACAAATTATGCTATAAAACTTGTGAAGCCTCAAAGTGTGAATTGGAAGCATGTTTTTCTTATAATGATGTTAACATTGACTAATACTGAACTTAAGTTAATGTGCAAGTGTATTAATATTATAAAGTTCTTGATTAAGCACTTATAGCTAACAATATTTTACAAAAATCCTTATGATTTTAAAAACTATATAAAAAAAAATCATTACACACTGATTTTGACATAGGGTGATACATACGTTGTGTTGAAGATTAGATTTTGTGACTTAAAATTTGTATTAACTTGTTTTATATAACCTGAGAATTCAACCAATAGGAGTACATCTACCCAATTCATTTTTTTTCCAAAATGTTTAGATTTAAAACTTTTCACTATAATTTTTTTAAAAGTTTTTAATATCCTTAAAAAAAATAAAAACTTATTATGATATTATTATTAATTTATTGTATAAACTCGACATCTTCTCTAATACTAATAAAAAAATTATTCAAACAAAAATTAAACTAAATTATTAATATATTTTACATTATTTGAATGAATTTGTTAAAAAAATTTTCTAGGGTTAGTTTGTCCATTCACCAACCCATCCCGAAAAGTAATTTTAGTTCATAATTTATTTACAAGCTGATGATAGGAGATGCAAAAATGAAGGAAACAAACTCCTATTTTTAGATTTCCTTACATAACTCCACTGTTTTAGTAGTTACTAATCTATCTTCTTAATTACCACAAATATAGAAAAAAAATGTGACATTTAAGAATGAAAAATAATAACTTGACATGTGAAATTCAGAAATAACTTACCAAATGCTGAATGTGGGGATCATACATCTAAAATTCACCAACACTATAACCCTTACACTATAATACCCTTATGTTTGGCTTTATTTATCTTATAATTTTTTTTTTTAGAATTGTACTTTATTCTCTAAATGCACTTAGATAAGCCATCTCCTTTAAATTTTTTAAAACTTATAATATATAAATTATATTAACATTAGTCAATAGCTTTGAACATTTAAATTATGTTTTAAATTTATGATAAACAATCTATATTATAATATAAAGTTATTTGAGTTATTGAATTTTTTTAAAATAAAATATAATTTAGAAATAAAAGGTGAAAAATTATAGATTGAAAGATAAGATGGCAAGAAAAATGTTTAGAAAGGTTTTCTTTAAAGAATATATGCTTTTTAAAGCTGTTCTTGTTAAAAATAACTCTTAAAAGTATTCATTTAAAAATATAAATTTATACAAAAATAGGTTGAGATAGATATTTTGATTTATTAGGCATAAACATGGTGTATAATTGTTAGACCTTTTAGTGGTTATTCAAACATGGTGTATTTTTTTCTTTCAAGCGTGTTATGTTTGTTTAACAAGTCTTTTAATGTCAATAAATAAATAATTTTTACAAATAGTTTTTATTTAATACAATATTAAATATATGCTTGTAAATAATAATACAATTAAATTATATTTTAATTATAATAAGTAAAAAATAATTAAAATTAAAAATAATTATGAGGTATTATTTTAAAAAATATTTACTTTATTTAAATTTTAAAACTTTTATACCTTTTAAAAAAAATCAAATTGAAAATTTTAGGTTGTATTTGGACTTGACACTTTTAATCGTTTTTGGACGGAACATTTTTTATTCTTAATAATTTTAGTTTCCTATGAAAACAAAGCAAAACGTTGAACAATGTGTGTGAGGATATTATTATTTTATACTACTGTATCATATACATGATTCTTGATTCTTTCTGATCCCTGCACTCTATATGCAGGAAACATTGCTTTCAACGGTTAACAATGATGAACCATTGGACTTTCCCATTGCTCATGTATGCCTCAAGTATTGGACCACTGGTATATGCATCGATTCCAATACAGAAGGATAAAAGATGCATGAGGGAGAAACATGTATGTAAAGTAAATTATACTAATATAATATGAAACCAAGTTGATGTTTTCAAAGCGCACACCAATTTATTTGTGGAATTGGATTGATATTGAAAGGTATCGTAAAGTCTATCCATATGAAACAAGGAAGTTGTGAGAAAAATAAACCTTTGATATTTAAGAACAATTCCAAACATTGACCCTACACCAATAGTATATAATATGATTTACCAACAAAAGCAAATAGGGTAGCCATTGAGAAAAATAAACAAAACAAGAAAAGGATGAACTACACTTTAATAGCCCCCTTTGCCCATCTCAACACGATTGTCATGATCTTCATGTTCCACGAATCTGGACCAGAATGGGTGTGCCCTCCAAACCTGGCCCATTTCTTCAATTGGAATGCCCTTGGTTTCAGGCAAAAGGAAGAAAACGAAGAATGTCATCACCACCACAAAGAAGGCGAAGAAGATGAACAAGCCAAACTTCATGTGGCAAAGCATTGTCAAGAAGACTTGCGCAATCAAGAAAGTGAAAAACATGTTCACCGACACGGTGATACTTTGAGCTGCCGAACGAATCTCCAATGGAAAGATCTCACTAGGCACCAACCAACCTAGGGGACCCCATGACCAGGCAAATGCTGCTACGTAAATGCAAATGAAGAGTACCACGACAACTGCATACCACTTTGGCAAATCACCAGGGTTACCATCAATTCCAAACTTGGCTCCAATAGCAGCTGCAACCACAGCCTATACACACCAACATACACAACATTAGCATTTCATAAGCAATATGCTACCTCAATTTTCATTCAATAACTCATACAATTAATTGGTACATTGAAGATTTAAGTAAAAAGGTACCTGGCAAATGAGCATTTGAGCACCACCTTCAAGGAAAAGGGCTCTCCTACCCCATTTATCAACACCATAAATTGAGACACAAGTTGCAACAACGTTAACAACACCCGTGATCACAGCTGACATTAGAGCATTATCATCCTTAAACCCAATGGAGCTGAAGAGCACAGGCGCGTAAAACATGATGACATTGATTCCAGTAAGTTGCTGGAAGAATGGAATCATGATTGCCATAGTGAGGTGGGGTCTGTACTTTCTTTGCAACAAGTTCCTCCATGGGTGATCTACTTGGCTTGAAGCTTCACTAGCTGCAATTAAATCATCGAACTCTTCATCAACATCACTCACACCACGAACTCTCCGAAGCTGAGCCTTGGCTTTCTCACGATCACCCCTTTCAATCATTGAATTGGGAGTGTCTGGAAGGACCAGTGATCCAACTGTGATTATGAGGGCAGGGACCATTGCACCACCCAAACTCAACCTCCATCCCCAACCACCTTTGATTTTGGCAAAGAAGTAGTTCAACACATTGGCCACAAGTATTCCAATTGTGATTGACAATTGGAAGCCAATGTTCAATGCTCCTCTGTACTTGTATGGAGCCATCTCAGAGAGGTAGAGAGGCACAGACTAGTAAAATAATGATCAGTAAAAGGTTAAAAAAAAAAAAAAAACATTGATAACATTTTGACTCATCAACATGTAGCACTTCACATGTTGTAATGGAATTCAATTAAAAAAACGTGTGGGACCACGGGTTCTTCCCAACTTGTAACGTTTATTTGGGGGAAAAGTAACTTGGAAAACTAGAGTAAGATTTTTATTTCATAAATTCAATACTTTTTTTAATTAAACCCCGTGGAAAATGATGTAACATGGGAACAAGAAGCGAGGATATCACATGCGTAGAAGATATCCTCGCTTTTGGTAAATTAGTGGAACCAAGCTCCATTTATGTCATCCTCCTAATCCAGCTATCACTCTCAACAACACATGCTAAAGATAAAACGAGTGGAGACTCTTTGTATAACAAACAACCAAACAAGTCCAATTTGCTGAGTTTGAAAGGGTTGGTAGAGGCGCAATTAGCCGAAATAATTCATAGTTTCATACGTAGAGTAGAAAAATAGCCCCAAAATAGAGTAAAGTAGGGAAATGAATAGTTGGATTGAAGACGACGACGACTTTTTGAGTCAATAAAAAACTATAATCACACCCAATGAATGCCTGAAAATTGAGAAGCCTTATATTAACTACGTGTCAGCAACTTTCTTTTCTACGAAAGGTTCTCTCTTTCTGTCAGAGTAAATAAAACGTATGCATATAATATACACAGAGAGTTTCATTTTTTAAGATATAACGGTCCCTTTCTCCAGTAGTAACTCCCTATGAAAAATTAATCAAAATAAATACTATAGTTAATGATAAGTAGATCTGGGAAAAGGGTTCAGTTCAGAATCAAGTAAAACAGTGCACAACGGACAAATTAAACGACAACACGTTGTATGATTCAATTATTAAGGAAAGAAATGAACAAAACGGCAACGAAGGAAAAATCGTATCAAAATGATCATAATGGTTTTGTGTCTGGAAAATTGAAAAAGGCAGAGATTTTGACATGTCCTCTACACAGAGGGAGAATATCGGAGACATGCCCATCCCCCCGTGTTAAAATTCAACAAAACCAAATAAAAAAATAATATTTTTGGTCCGCATCAAAAGAGGAAAAAAATAGTTTGTTGGGTAAATAATGGAAATTTTTTATTACAAGGGCTTGAACTGACAATGACTTATTTACTTAACAAGGGAAGAGCCAGAGATTGAGAATACCTGATTGGCGAACCCGATACCGAACCCGAGCAAGATCCGACCCACGATGAGCATCCACACGCTTTGGGCGAAACCGTTTATGAAAGCACCGACGAGGAAAAGCAGACCTCCGAAAAGCATGGAGAGTTTTCGGCCGAACCGCCGCGTAACGGTGGAGGCAACCAGTGACGACAGCAACGCCGCCAGGTACAGCGACGAGGTGAACATCGTGAGTGTTTGGCTGTCGTATTGGCAGTACTGGTTCGTCGTTTTGTCCAAGTTCTTCTTCCGGTAGACCGACGGGAAGAACTTTAGCAGAAACGGATCCATGGACGTGACCCCACCTGATCATAGCCCCCACACATTAAAACAAACAACGTCACACACAGACCCAGAGACAGAAATCATAAGCCAAAACAAACCGCTAATATAATAAGTGTCGACATATGAACTATGAGTACCAGAAATTCCGATATCGTAGCCGAAGATCAAACCACCCATCGCTGCAACTATGCATGTTACCGTCACGAAAGGAGTGAGGCTCCCAGGGTACGCCTTGCCCCCTCCGACGCTTATTCCTCCTACCGCAGGCATTTTTGGCCGTTTCTCTCTGAACAAAAGAGAAAAATATAAGAGAGAAAGTGAAGAAGACGAAGAAGAAGAAAGAGAGGTAATAGAAACAATATGGTGCTTTTCGATGGAGAGTAGGAAGTGTTTATATAGCAAGATTTCCTTACTTTCGGATCACCGGATGATGAGCTGTCAATGATTATGAGGATGGTATAATATGAACATATGTTTATCTATAAAATTAATGTTTAATTCAATTTTAATTTCACAAAATGTTTAATTAATAAATACTTATTATTTCAATTATATGTCTAATTTTTTACACTTATTACAGATACCAGTCAAGCTTATTTATTACTTTTTTTCTATTATTATTGACAATATATTTGTCAGCGATTATATTCATGTTTATATTAATAAATAAAATAATAATAATGGAAATTAATTAAAACTACCAAACCATTTATTTGCTTATATTTCTTCACAGGATAGGATGTTCTAAAAACCAACTAAAGCGTTAAAGCTTGAATCCAAAAAAGACAAATATTAATCAATATTTTTTTTTCAGTTATTAATAACCCACATTTTAAAATAGAACAAACAAGATAAATGTATTATAATGTAAAAATAACTACTAGAAACCTTTTATCTATTGATAGAGCCTATCCTAGTCTTACCAAAACGAAAAAAAAAAAAAAAAAACAGAACCTTATCCTATTTTAAATCTTCCACGTAAATTATATCGTATTGATTTTAAAATGATAAATATTATCTATATTTCTGTTTGGGTAGATGATAAATAAATATGGAACCTTTTTTTTTGTCACACATAGATGGGAGCATATCCAAAATTTCCTTGGAGCAAGAGACATAAAGACATCGCAATCTCTAAATGTAAATTATTCTCATGAACCAAATAGTTGTTTATTTTTTTGGATTTTAGAAATGAATTTAATTCAAACAATTTTTATCCAATCATGGATTGTTATATATAACAAGTTTTTCACTTTTTACTTTTCTAATAATTATTTTGAAAATTAAGACGATATTCAGAATAAAACAATTAAACGTTTTTAAATGGATATGCGTAAATTTTATGGAAGTTTTGATTATTTTGTGATATTTATACATGAAGAATATTTTGATATTTGAATTTAAAGACTTTATGTATATGAAGAAAGTACCTCGTTGAGAAGAGCATCCTTAAATCATGTTGGATTAACTAGAAATATTGAAAATGATAGAGACCGTTGGATGAACCGACGAGAGGTGAAGTCGACGGAGTGAAGGGACTAGGATGGAAAAAACAAAATTAAAAGGCCTTTTAAAGAAATCTCTTTCCCCAAAACGCAAGGTTTTGAATTTTGTAAGTCACCGAGTTGGTGGATTTCACACGTCAGATAATACTCAGATTGTTGGGAGGGCTTGGTGCAATTAATGTATTGTTTTAACATCCATGGGATTGTATTTATTGTAGGGATATGGGTGCCAAAGTCATGGGTTATACTAGAAAGGAAGAAAACTCATTCCATTTTCAAAAACAAAATTAATAGAGATTTTTTTACTATAACTTCATCCAATTGTATATGTGCTAATCATTTTTTTTATTAGAATATAATTAATATGATATTAAGTTTCATAAATAATTAATAAATAAGAATAAAATTGATTGGAGTTAAAAAAAAAGGAAAGAAGGAAAGGGAGGGAGCATTTGGTATATGGATAATGTTGGATTAATGGAAGAGCAGTTGGTGTTGGTGGGAATGGTCGGTGTGGATAGTAAAAGTGAGGAGTAGGACGCGTGACTTCGGTTCCTTTACAGCAACCATCCTCTTCAATGGTATTACGATGTTAATGATACGGACACAAATGATTGAGTCATTTTTTATCAGAAAATGTCTCTTGAAGACTATGAAACTTTGTGACGGTGTAACGAATATAAAACGTTAGTCAACATCCAAAACATTGGAATTGAATTTTTCTAGTAAATAAAGATAGTTGGTTATATGGGTTAGTTGAGTTTTTGAATATGTGGAGTAGTAAGACAGTTTAACCGTTTTAACAGATATAGTTCATATCGTGGAGTAAGAGAGGATTTTTGGTGCTTTAACAAAAGTAAAAAAAGAAATGAGAATCTGTCTTGGTAAAAGAAATTCTCATGAGAAGCGTCTCAAAAAATAAGATGTGTACAAAACAAAAGTTGATTCAAAAGCAAAAGAGCATCCCAACCAAATGGATAATTTTCTTTTACGACCACATACTTTTTTTCTGCTCATCTTTCTATTTATATCCTTCCTCAACGCAACCTTCTCTTTAAGCTTTCTTTCACTATGTAGCTTCCCTTCTATTTCCTATCACATTTCTTCTTTTCTTCTCTTATTTTCTCACTTATATATTATTATAAATCTACAATTTTTATCCATTTGAACCTAATTTATTCAACGACCAATAATCCGTTCAAACACGGAAGACTAAAACAAAGTATGAAAACATTTGTGCCCATTTTGAGGGCTTTAAGTCAATCTCCTTTGGAGTACATGGGTCCACTGCGATACTGCCACGTAAAGTCACCCATTTCACACGTGTTATTGAATACTTTAATATTTTGAAAATGATAAAAGTTTTATTTTATTTTAAAAATAAATTGAATATAATAACTATCTTATTTTCAGGAAAAAAAAATTGTTACACAGTTAGTTCTTATTTACTAGAATTAGTGGGTGGAACAGAGAGAACCGCGCCATCAGATAAGGTCAATGCTGAGTGAGAGCGATAAGCTTGAAAAAGGTCAAGAACACAAAAATCTTCTATAAAAAGCTATAGAAGAAAATTTAAATATGAGTTTTGTTTTTAATAATAGCAATGCAAAATGTCAAACTGCAGCATTCATATGGTCGAAGCAATCACTGGTGATGAGATAATAATGCAGATATTCTGGACGAGGATAGGTCACAAAACATTGACCTAGATCTGGAGTTTATTATAATTTACACTTGACTTTTATTTTTGTTTTAGTTTTAAAAATATTGATTGAAGGAACAAATTTGGAGGAAGTTAAGTTATTAATGTCAAAAGAAAAATAAGATTATGCTGTCCAGAATTAACCTTATCTTTGAAAAAAAAAATGTGAGTGTTTCAGAAATCTATTTCTAAACAACTTATGACAAACTTAAGAAGTAAAGACATAGGTTTATGTAATCATGATCCATTTTTGGATAACCTAGGTAGGTGTCTCTATCAAAAATCTTATATATATATATATAACTTCATTTCTATATAAGGCAAACTTTGACAATCTATTTAGATTTAGATGAAAAAAAAAAACTTCTTAAACATTTTCCTCTTGGAAGATGAGTAACTAATTTTTTATTTTAGATTTAATATAATTAGATCTACTTTGAAATAGTTGTTTTATTTATTCAATCAATACTGATTGATTATTGATCTTCTTAGCTTAATGTTTTGTTTTTATAAAAAAATAGATAAATTGTATAATTTTATAATTTCATTTGTAATTGAGAATTTGTTTAATTATGAATTGAATATAACTAATTATTTTTATGTTTAATGATAGGATAAAAGAATTATTATTGTCAAAACTTTTTTTTTAAAGCAAGCCCCTTAATTTTAGTAGAATAAACACCTAAAAAATTAATCATATACAATTTCTTTTCAAATACAATATATTATATTATGTTATAACATTTTTTTAGTAATTTAAATATTTTATAACACAAGATCCATTTATAATTAATATATATATAATAATAATAATAATAATAATAATAATAATAATAATAATAATAATAATAATAATAATAATAATAATAATAATAATAATAAAAGCTCAATTTCCATAAAAGAGTGAGATTGGTTTCTCTAAAAGAGTTTAGACTCTCTCTCCAATCCTAGTAACAATAATAATAAATGAAATAATACATTAATTAATTTTTTGATAAGAGATTTATCTCTTTCATATAAGAAATAAGTCTGTATTAAATACAGAATAAAAAAAATAAAAAAGAAAAAGTAAGAAAAGTATAAAAAGGGGTGAGGGTGAAAATATAATAATAAAAAAAGATCATAAGAAAAGAAAATGAGGAAAAGAGAAGAAAATGACACTAAAAAAGAGAAGAGAAAAAAAATATATAAGTATTTTCATCATTTTTTGTATTTATTAAGATATGAGAGGAAATATTTATCATTTTATTTATGTTATTTTCAATTATGTTTGTTGAATGAGGAATTGAGATGTTCTTTTTATTGTATTATTAATTTAAGTATATTTTAAGAGATAATTATTTTTCATTAGATTTTGACAATGAAATAAATGTTTTTATTTTTATACGTATAAATATATGAATTTTACAAGTTTACATGATTTCAATACTAGAAATAATTATTAAAATTAGTAAACATTTTTCTTTTAAAATGGTTGATTTATCAATAATACTTGTCGTTCATCTTGATGTCTCAATTTATTTGGGTTGATATTTTAATTGTAACATACACAAAAGATAGAGAGTGCGAATAATTATCATGTAAAATAATATAATCTTAGAATAAAATATAAAATATAGTTTTTCAATTTCATCACATACTCTATTTATTTTATAATATAAAGATTTGCATTAAATTTGTAGTGACTAGTGAGGATCAATGAATTTAATTTTAATTACTCTCTAAGTGATAACAATTCAATTCAATTTCTAAAGTTCAACCTCCATCTACAATATCATCAAATCTTTATAAATTAATATTATTATTTAAAACAATTAGAACCTCCATCTACAATATCATCAAATCTTTATAAATTAATATTATTATTTAAAACAATTAAATAATATGAATATAAATTAATAAACAAGAAATAGTGCATAATTAGAGTTAAAAAGAATAGAATCAGTGTGTGACTTGGGATAAATAAAATAGGACTGACGCGTAACTGAAGATAAAATAAAACAAATATAAAATAGGACCAATGCGTCATTAGAGTTATATATATATATATATATATATATATA